TGGACGTGGTCTGGAAAGAATCTGCATGAAGTTTAAATCTATACCGGCGCCATCTTCAGCAGCCAGAAGTGCTGGACTAACACGACCGGCGTCACCGCTCATCGAAAATGCATCGATATTTTCCTCGTGACGCAAATCCAGCTGCGCTTTTTGCGTACACATTTTCACTGAAATTATTACCATTCAGTGAAAAAAATTAGAAAAAAAGGATATTATTTTTAAAATTTTAAAATTAATGGTACTCACAAAAAGATAAAAGAATAAAGCGGAAGGCAGTTATATGCGGTCAAATAAGCCAGTAAAAAAACATGAAAAATCCACAAATAAATGTCAGGAATACTCCGGCAATCGTTGTTAGTTATGCTACTGAGATGCCATTATACGCCAGCAGAGCTATGTCAGGTCCCTCGATTCTAAGCTGCAAACCTCCAGTTGGTGCTTACCCTCCTATCCGATGTACGTGTCACCTGTTCGGGGCGCTCTAAGTAATCGTTTACTTCCTCGTGGGTACCACTGACCAGTAAGCGACATCCGCTGATTGTCTTTATCGGATTTTACTTTCTCGCGTAATCGTTAATGATGTGCTGTACAAATAAGCAAATCAGTGACCATTTCCTCCTTACCCACCCAGTCCGTCCTCATTTCATTGTTGAACTCTAAGTAATGAATGATTTAACTTACATTTATTCCTATAAGCTACTTTGAGAACAACAACAAGCTTTGTAAGCATATTAATGGGAGCTGGTGTTGCGGAACGTTTATTCATTTGTCGGATCAGTATTGCCCGCCCAAATTTCCATTCCTTATCCGATTGTGCTTGAATTCGTTGATATGTGTCGGACATCATAGCAATCAGTAAATTTATTAGAACCTGAAATGTGTTTAACATTCTGCATTGAAATATTTTGTGTGGGAAACTTCGCATAAACACAAGAGAACTAAAAATGGAAAACAGATATTTTCGTTGACGCCTCTTTTTAAAAGTGGTTATGGAGTGGAAGAGAATCGAATCATTCGTCTTCACTCTGAACATGACGTGCTACACCACAGGCAGAAGTGCTCATGCGCTTGTTGGAAGACCTATATTCTGAATATACATATTCTGTATCACTTGACTGCTGTATCCGTGCAGCACATTATTTCAATAATTGTCAGCTTTTCACTAAATTTCCGCGACAGCTATCAAATTTTTTCGTTAACGAGCGGATAAAAAAAAATCTGAGATCGGTTCAGTCCAGAAAAGGAGGTAATTTCCATGAAGCGCCATTGTCTCTGTGGTCTAGTGCATTTTGTTTAACCCACGAAGATGAATCCACCTTTCCACTCACCCTCCTCACTAAGAAGAAATTAAAAAATAGCAAGAATTAAAAAACCGAGGTACCAACGTATTTCACCTGTAGAAAGACAGAAAATGTTTGTTAACGGTCAGTTTAGTACGCTTCGAATGAATATGTTGCCAAGTTGATCAGAACTGTTAGAAAAACAAGTTGAAAACAATCTGAGACCTTTATATCTGTGAAAGGCTAACTTAATTTGCTAAATCGGAGTTAAAATTTCCTCCGTAGTTCCCTCATTCTCAGTTCTAACGGAGAAATCGAAGGACATGTAGAAGAACTGATTTCCGAAAAGAAACTGAACTAAGAGAAATGCCAACTACTATGGTAACGAAAAAATAAAGTAATCATATAATTGGATCCCTGAAATTAAACTTACTATTCTCTCTTCCAGTTACTTTCCTCTTTTCCTTTAACCACTTCTCACTCTTGCTTTTCTTCCCTTGATTCTCTCATCTAGTTCATATTCCCGTAAGCATTTAAATAAGTTAATTAGAAATTAAAAAATGACATACGATTAGAGTAACAAGAAGGTAGATGCCGAATATCAGTTTGAGGATAATTTTAGCAAAATCGGGCACCAGATGCAGTGGTGGCATTGTATCGGGCTCTACCAATCCGAACAGCGAAAAGAACAGCATCTCGAGCGTTTGCTCAGGCGATGCCAAACGCATTACTTGTCCGTCATCCGCATTTGCCGGCTGATAAGCTGGCTAAAAACTTGCAGTCAACTTGAAAACGAAATCCATGTCTTTTAACAGGCTATAGAAGCGGTGAGACATAAGGGTGTGGAAATGCTCATATTAAGCCTAGTGCTTTCGCGCTTCACGATCTCGCAAATTTCGCTTAGTATGATTCGGTACGAACATTACCTGCTTACCGGATAAGACTGTAGCATTCAAGTTTAACCGGATTAAGTACGTTTTTGAGTCACCATTAGCTGCTGACAAGCCCACCTTTTCAGTACCAGTGTATTGAAGGCAGTGACGAACGGATATAAAACGTGTCGCTAACGTGTCACTCTCTGTTACGGAGAAAGGAATCAAACGGAGCATGCCAAGCGTGTATCTTTTAAACAGATCGACTCTCCGTCAAATGAGCAGATCGCAGGATGTCAATGCAACCATGCTAGGAAGTAAAATTCAATGGGCAAGGCATGCTATTCGCTTGCTGATAATCAGTGGACGTTCCGCACTAGCGAATGGTACCCGTGAAAAGAAGATGTCGAAGAGAGTGGCTCTCGAAAAGGTAGCGTGCACATACTAGAAGGCATTGGGTACCAACTGAAAAGACCCACAGGGCACAAGGAAGTTCAAAATCTAATTATTGATCCTGATCACGGAGAGCAAAAATAGTGCAGTAAAGTGGAAGAAAATGCTACCTGAAAAATGGAGGTTACATGTAACGTGAAACCAGCGATGAAGAGCAGCAATATCACAAGAAACCTGAAAAGTCCACAAAAAATTAATTCAAAAATTCAAATTATTATTAAGCTGGACTGGTTCTGCGTCCCAAGAATGCCAATTTTTAAAGATGTGAAACGCCTTGCAGTGCACCTGCGATTTAGGCACTACGAACTCACAACTTAAGAAAATAAGCAATCTGACTTTAACGTCAGTAGCACGAATGTGAACAGCTTCGTTGTATCATGGTACTAACCTGGCTAACGTGTCGGAGAGTTAAGCGATCCTCAGTCTGCCTCTCAAGAAACCCTTAGATTTTTAGCACATGACATTCCTTTTGCAAAAACATATGGACTGGAAGGAAATCAAAACCCTCGCCTTCACATTCGGACACGACGTGTTAAGTACTGCAACACTGGTCTTTATTCTCCTAGTCCAATAGCTGGAGCACAATTTTAGGACATATATTTGAACCCCCGTACATAATCTGTATCGCTTTACCGTCTGGTTGCTGCACTCTGTGTGGTAAAAAGCCTAACAAGTGGCGGCTTCTCGCTGGACTTTTACGAT